GTGAAACTGCTCGGAATGGTAAATATTCAATTTCAATATGCTTTGGCAGAACTCTTTTATCCCTTGTCCACTTTTACTTAGGACAACCCGAGACATCTTTGAGAGAAAATACAGCTAGTTTCAAAAAAGCCGCTGGATCAGTTAGATGCGAGTGGCCCTCCCGCGATCTCTGTAATGCAAGTGGCAAACTTTGCAGAGTAATTTCCAGTCTTTAGCGTTAACAGGTTCATTTTCCACAGCCCACTCACTCAATTTCATAAATATCGACAATAAATTTTTTCAAGAAATACCTATGGTTCCAACGAAGCTGTCTTTCTCAGTAACTGGAACTGCCTGGATTAGCTTCAGTTGTTTGTACGGTATCCTTTGAACAACATTACTGGGCTCCGCGTTTAACTGTCTTATGATGTAACACTGCTCTGAGCAAACCAAGGCATACTGTCGTATTTGTTGACCAGCTGCTGTTTGATCCAGTAACATCTCCACATCCAGGAGCCTATATGGTACAAAAATTTCAATAACTCCTCACACATCAATAAACGAAATTCTACTTGAAAAAATTTTTGCAACAAAACTGGCCGTAGCACGCAGCCAGCGGGAGTGCGGATTTTTCGCGTAAATTCTTCAAACTGTGTAGGGTAGTAAACGACAGCCAGAAATTTGAAGCAATCAAACAGAAACGATAAATAGCAGCGCGCACCAGAATGGCCGGTGCGATCATGCGTTTTGTGCAATTACGTCCACCGAACGATTGCCTGTTAATGATTTTCATTGCTTTGTACTTTGATCTGTGCAAAAATAGTTGAGATGCCGAAAATTAGTTAAAAGTTTCACGCATCGGTGCGTAAAAGCTGGATTTGAAACCTCGAAGAGTAAATATCCTTCTAAAATTTCAATTCCCTAATTTTCTGGTTCTCGAATGGTTTTCGAGAAAAAACTTTTACGCGGTTATACATGAGACCTTGGCACACTTAGGGACTAAATTCGAGTTTGTAAAGCCCCTGCTTAGGCGGAAAACATTCTTCTGAAATTTTTAGCTTCCTAACTCTTCCGGCTCCCAAGATTTTCTCTTAAAATTTTTCTCGTTAAAACTTCCACGGAGACGTTTAAAATTTATGAAGTTGTATTTTAACGCGCAGGGATGCCACGCTAAAACTTCAGCTAATTTTTGCAGTTCACGAGATAACTTCACGGGACCGTACGTGGTGCCCAGTGGTGCTTGAAGGCTGAATCCAAATTTGCGAAGGTCATTCGTTGATGGGCGATAATGCCCTAAAACTTCAGATTCCCGACTTTCGTGGTTCAAGAGATAATTTTACTTGCCGAAATTCTCACGAGGCCAAAAGTAATATATGAACGCGGGAAGGCTGAATTTGAATTTGCAAGGTCGTACGTGGACGGGAAGTCATTGTCCAAAAATTTCAGTTTCTTAGATTTCAAGATTCCCGAGATAATAATTTCCCCGCCGAAAATTTCACAGGGCCGCACGTGTTGCCCGTGAGCAGGGGAAGGCTGAATTTAGGTTTCCTGGGTCGCAAGCGGGTAGGGATCATACCTACAAAATTTCAGTCTTTTAATTTCCATGGTTCCTGTGATAATAATTTTACCCGTCAAAACTTCTACGAAGCCTACGTGTTACTGGCGGATACGGGAAGGTTGAATTCAAATTTTCGGGGTCACATGAGCGTGGGGAACATTCCCCCGAATTTTCAGCTTTCTAGCTTTTGTAGTTCCCAAGTTGAAAGTTGCGGACAAGTTGCTGCGGACACACACACACACAGACAACCCCGTGACAATATGCG